AGAGGCCGAGGCTGCTGGTCCACATATGTGAGGTCTGAGTTAATCTGTCTGAATCAGCCCATGAGAGGGAGACGTGCTCATTCCACAGTGAGGAGGCAGAGGCAGTGGAGGTCAGGGGCCTTGACCACACAGCTCCCGGGCGCTGGCCACCAGCATCTCTTAGCTCAGCAAGTTAGCTTATTAGTGGAAGCCACGAGAGTCTAAGGAAGCCCTGGGAAGACCCCAGGCTGAGGGTTAGGGAGCTCTGGAGGGCATAAGGGGGCTTTCGAATCAGGCACAGAGGGGTGGTGCGAGGGGAAGACGCCCTGGAGGGTGCTGTGCTGGTGGCATGGAGTGTCCTGGCTCAGTAGGAGGGAGAAGCAAGGACAGCAGGAAGGGGCTCAAGACCTCTGCTCTGTGGAGCTCTTTCTCCCTGCCCACCTGACCTGGAGGCTGACATGTCCGGGTGCTGGCTGTGTGGAATCTCCCTGCACAGTGTCTCTGTCCGTATCAGATTCTGTCTGCCATGTGGCTCTGAGTGGGGGACTGTCCCCGCTGTGGCTCTGCTCCCATGAGGCTCTGTCCTCGCTATGGCCACAGTGAGTGCCGTCTTCTCTTCGTGCCACGCTCTGTCTGTGTGTCTTTCCACTCGGTGGCTCTGTTTGGGGTGTGCTCTGCATCTCCTCCCCTTCATGTTTCTTTTCTGTAAAAGGCAGGGAAGAAGCAGTTTGAGAAGTGCAGAAAAAAATAAATAACAAAATTCCTTCTTGTGTTTATTTTGTGATATTGTGATATTTAGACCCTTGAAAAGAAAAGTATAAAAAGCTCCCATAAGGAGGAAAGGGGAAAGCCCTACAAGGAACAGGATGGCTCTTTCCAGATTTGTCACCAGCGAGTGAGTTCAGGTTCGAGGCTCTGAATACCCTGGGGGTGAGGGGGGGTGCATGGCTGCACAGAGACGCCCGGCAAGGTTGCAGACGGGTGGCCCCCTTGGCTGAATCCCACGGACATGTTTTGTTTGGCTCAAATGGTATTTGAAAAATATTCAAAGTAGTTTAAAATGTGGGAGTTTTTGTAATAATCCCCCTGGTTGCTAGCATTTCTTGAAGAACCGGGAGTGCCAGAGGAGAGTGGCTGGTTGGTGGCTGAGGAAGGACCTGGCTCTGGTCACAGTCCTGAAGCCCTTGCAGCATGGATCCTGGGGCCCCGGTGTGCCACCCTGGTCTGGGGAGTTCTAGACTCAGAGCTGCACTTAGCAGCTGGGTGACTGTGGGGCCTGCACTTCCTGGAGTCTCTCCTCTCACCTGGTGGCTGGTCAGCCTGTGTGAGTGTGTGTGTGTGTGTGTGTGTGTGTGTGTGTGTAAACAGAGAGAGAAAGAGAGAGAGAGAATCTCGAGCATGCAGCCAGTGCCCAGCTGCACAGGGACCAGCGGTTGTTGTGGAAGAGGTGCTCAGTGGCCATCCATGGACATGAAAGGGAATTTCCTGGCCGCTTTCTGTGATCCTTTAAATCATTCCTTTCTTTAAGAAAAATTTATAATGTTTCAAAAATGTGTTTCTAAAAATTATTATTATTATTTTACAAGATCTGCATCGTCTGCGTGGTGCTTTCTCAGTATCTGGCCCCAGCTGGAGCACTTCTGGGTGTTTTATGGCAAATTATTCTCAGATTACCCTTTAATGCAGGAAGGGCTGCCTGTTGTCTGAGCTCCCTGGGCCTTACGAAAACCCTCCGACTTGATACAAAACAGCTGCCTCGGCCAGCTGTTCCAGAAAAGGAGCATTTTCAGCCTGAAGCAGCAGGAAAAGGGGTTTTGTAGCTGGTGGAGATTTTGAGAAATGCTAAATTACTCTTTCTTTGCCATTAAACTGTGATTTAATTTTGTGACTAACAAATTGTGTAAATCTAAAAAAGAAGAACTCGGCGTTGCTGTTGGTTACGTGTGTTCTGGCAACACTTGCATAGGTCCTGAGGGGGCTTCCCCAGGGAGGGCAGCAACTCCACTGACCTCCTGTCCCTGGGCCTCAGCCTGGCTGGGTTGGGGTCAGGGGTCAACCACGGCCTCTCTCCCCTCTCCCGGGTCCCTGCTGAGACCAGCAACAAAGGGGTCAATTGTCTGAGGCCTCCCTTTGTCTGAGGGGCTGCAAGGGCGGCTCTGAATGCCACTGTATTGAGGCACGTGCATAAGCAAGTAAATACACATCCTGTGAGTGTGTATGTGTGAACCTGTGTGCCCGTGTGATGGTACCTGCCCATGTGAGCAAGCACATGCATGCACGTGTGTGCATATGAACTACAGCAGTGTGCACATGTTCAAGTATGGAAGATGTGTATGTGTAAGTGTGCACCTGCACATGAGTGTGCACAAGCAGATGTTGCACACGTGTGTGAATGTGCCTGTGTGCCCGTGCGCGAGACTTAAGGGTATTTCTGAGCTGCTGGTGCATCTTAGCAGGGTGAGGGGCCTCAGAGAGGCGGATGCTGTTCTGAATGCTTCGGGAACATCGTCTCTGATTCCTCTCTCAGCAGGTCATGCAGTTGCCTTCCCCTGGGTTTGCTAAGGTCCAGAGCTCAGAGACCTCCCCTCCCCTCTTCCTCTGTGGGAATGAGACAGCAGGCTCAGGCTCCTCCTCTCACCATTCAGAGGACAGCACTGCCTCATCAGCCTGTTGGGTCTGTGATTTCAAAGTGAGACCCACAAGAACTTTCCTGTACTGTTCCAACCCTTTTCAGGGCTGCCTGGTTGGATCAGTGCTTTCTATGTGTAGTTTCAGCCACGTTTCCAGAATGACCATTGAAATCTCCTGTTCCGGTCCACGTCCAGTTGTTTCCAGTGTAGCCCCAGGGCCTTTTGCCTGTGCCCCACGGTCCTGGTCCCTAGCATGGCCTGCATACACCGAGGGCTTCAGGGGGCTTTGATTGGTCTGGCCTTGGGTGTGAACTGACCCTGTCCACTGGAGTTTCCATGATTCACAGTGCTGTCCATATAAAGGCGTTCTTTTAAAAGCAACAATAAAATCAGATACGTTTGATTCAGAAGCCAGGAAAAGATGAATAAAAACGCTTCATTGAAATTCACCTTTGCCAAAGGCTTACCTCCCAGCCCCTTTCCGCAGCTCAGCTGCCCCAGGATCACTTTCTCTGCTTTTCTAATCCTTCCCCTCCCACCCTCATTTCCTCTCCCTGCTCCAGCATTGGCTTATCTTTCAACTGTGGAAAAGCCACCCATTAAACTGTACTCCAAAGCTTATCAAAATATTCAGTCAGTAAAATTATCTTTTAATTAGCCCAACTGTAAGCCAGAACTTTCTAACCCCAGGAAATGTAAAGTGACGCAGCATGTAAAATCTGCAAATTGCTCATCCTGACCTCTCTGGCTTCAGTTTCAGCTTTTCTTTCTTTCCCAAAGTAATTTCCTCCTCTTCTTCAGTCCCTGAGGCGTCTTTCTCTTCTATTTGCTGAAATCTCAAAGAAAACCGATTCCTTGCATAATTGAGATAGATAATGGAATACATTCAGGCGAGTGTGCTATGAAATCAACTAGATGTGTTCTTCCAGGCTTTCACTTTTGCACATTATTTTTGTAAACTTAAGCGCGATTTCCTTGGTTCTCGGTGGCTCACCTTGGTTGGTGCTTGCGTTTTGGGTGCCTGCAGTGATCACACTCGGGGAGTCTTTATGGAGCTGAGCCAGCCCAACAACATCCGGGGACTCTGCCATTTGTCCCACTGGACCATGGCGTTGGACTTTCTTACCTCAACCTTTACTTTGTTCTCCCTCCTCCTCTCTCTGCCCTGCCTGTCCCAGCCGCCCCCTGCCTGGGGTCCCGCCTGACATCTTGCATCATCCAGTGCCATAAACATGCCCCCCCCCCAATGGGGGATATCAAAAACACCACAAATGATGTTTGGGGATTTCAAGGTGCAACTTAGACCTTTTGCAAAGAAATGATATTATAGACAACCTTGGGCTCTTAATTGCTGTGAGCTTTAAGTTCCTAGTGCGACAGTTGGACAGGTCTGTGAGGCTCCTATGTGAATAAAGCTTGTTGGGCAGTGATGATCACCTGTTCCATGGTGAAATACTTTCAAAGTTCTAAAAACAAGTGGAATAATTAAATTTTGAAACATTTTCATAATTAAAGTTTTGCCTATATATTGTGCTAATAGCAATAGCTAAATAAATATTTGTAGAGTTTTCCTTATCTGTTGGGGATTGGCGCGCACGCGCACACACACACACACACACACCAATGCAGAAAAGTTGCTTCATGCTTACATTTCTTGTGAGAAGTTAATTATTTGATCATTGTACAGATGGGGAAACTGAGGCTCAAAGTCTCAGAATCTATCGTCGACCTTGTGTGAACTAGCTGTGGCCCAGGCTTTAGCATTTGACCCCCCACATTTGCTTAGGAGGTTTCCATGACCCTCCCTACAGAGAAAAGAGGAAGTCACAGCTTCACCTCAGCCTGTAGTTGCTGCTGTGTTCTGCAGTGGCCTGCATGGGCTCTTGACGTCACCTTAGCATTTCAGGTTCGATTTTTTTTTTTGTGCCCAGGGCTGGGTCTTGAGTTGGACCTTTCCCAGGGGGCCCATCTCCTTGGTGGCCTGGACCCCACTGATGTTGTTGGGGCTAGGAGGCAGTGAGGGGTCCCCTGTGGCTTTGCTGTCCCAATGTGAACCTTGCAGTTAGCCACAGGCTGCCTCCAGTCCTTCCACTGCTGACGCAGAGCTGAAAGAGCCCCATTCGGGAAGTCTTTCCTGATGAAGGACACCTTTTGTTTAACCCATAAGGAAATATTTTAGGCTTCTTTAAGACCTTTTCAAAACACAATGATCCCTTAAAAGCAAAGTCAAAGCTAAAGATCTATCATTAAATGTGCTATTTATGAAGTATTAGCAACAGAGCATTTTAGGAATCGTTTAAGAAATATTTGACTGTATTAAGTTAATTTTCTTGTGAATCAACAGGTCCTTGATATTAACTAATTTATGCTTCTTTCTCTTCTTCATTGCAGCTTGGGTTGACCATAGCCATTCGCTATAGCCACAGGTAAAGCTTTATTTATTTATTTATTTTTAAAGAAATGTGCTTATGAGTTTGGAGCTTTTAATTTGTTCCAGTCCTAGGGTTTATGAGTTTATTTTTGGTGGCTGCTCTTCCATGATGTTAATGGCACCGATGAAATTGTCCTAGCTGCTTAATTGGTAAGAGCAAATTGCTATTCAGAAGAATAAGGACTCTATGCAAAACTGGTGGTAGGTAGAACATTTCTGTTAAAACACAAAAATGGGAAGCTCCACAGCAGAGACACAGAAGTGGTTTCTGGGTAATGTCACCTGCCTAAGAGTAATAACCAAAATCAGAGGTGCCCTGCGTGTGAGGCTAGGCCAGGCCAGGCCAGGAGAGCCCCGTCCCCGTCCCCACGGGGCCTCTTCCTCTTGTCTTGCCACGTCTGGCAGTGGCAAAAAGCCTCCATTTTCATCTTGCTGCAGGATTTCTACTTTGGTCTCAACTGCATCAAGTTTATGAAAATGCTTGTTTCTTGTACTACCAATGCAGTCTTCTACCACAAATGGGCATTCTAGAATGAACCTTTTTCTGTTTGCAGGCATCATCATGTATTATACACTGAATTAAAGTAAGAGCCAACCCCAATGAAGGGCGACAGGCAGTGTTGACAAACTGTGCTCATGGCCTTCCCAAGTACCACCTTTGGGTAAAGGCTTGGGGCTCAGGGACATTGTCACAAACTCTGCACAAACAACCCAGAGGGTTACAAGTTCACCTCCTAAAATGCCTGTAACAAATTGTATGCATGGTTTCAATTTAAATGTGGAATCAGACAATCACTGAGACCCAGAGAGACAGACTCAGGCTCTGTGCAGATATGAGAAGGCAGAGGGCCGGTGAGGCCTTGGACTCCTGGGATGAGTGAGTGGGAGGAAAATTGTTCATGTCAGACATTTCCAGGGCCTGAGGAAGAAGTTGCCTCAGAGAAGCTCATGATTGTGCAGGGGTAAAGAAATGTCTTCCCCTACCCATCACTAGGTTCATGGCTGAGCCACACAATGGCAGACAGGTAATGGGAGGGGGCCTACCAGGTTACTTAATGGATGACACAGGAGCCTTCATAAGGAAGTGGGGACAACGTTGGAAAGTGGGTGTGATCTGATGGTAATAACAGGGCACCTTGGCTTCCTGTTTGCTCACTTTCTTCCCTGTTCCTGTGTCTTCAGACATCCAGATGCTCTGCCAGGTCCTAGCAGGGCCCCATCCAAGACAGCTTTACCACCTGCTTCAGGGGAAGGGTAGGAACGTGAGAGCGACCTTCCTCTTCTGTTATTTTCTCCAACACCAAGGTGCCACCTCTTAGGGTAGTGTATCCAGCGCCCTCAGTTACCTGTGTTTCTAGGTCTGCTGTGTGCACGATCCCTGCACCTGTGGGAGCACATTATCCTGCAGAGGCCTGCCATTCCCTGTCACATAGCCAGGCTGCTGCGGGGAGGAGGTGCCTGAGCAAATATGGCGTGGACGCTGGACCCCAAAGCTGATGGGATACCTGGTGTGTCATTCTGGGGCGAGGGGTTGGAAGTGTTCTCTCAGCAACTGTCAAGAGGCTCTTTTTCTAGAGTGTTCTAAATGTGGACTGCTCCAGAATGAGAAAGGTGAGGGGGTGGGGAGAGGGAGAGGGCAGGAGAGGCTGATTTTTCTTGGGCTCGGTTTTTCTCTGTTACATGCGTCCTGCAGGTCAAGGAAGGGAGCAGCCCGTTTCAAGGCAGGCGCCAAAGGTGCCCCTCCTCTAAGAAAGCCAAGATGGCGCTCGAGACAGGGCTCCTTCCCGAGATGCCTAGGGTTGCTTTCCTGTGGCTCTGTGGAGAGTCATGGCTGTGTGGAAACTCAGTCTATAGGTGGGTTGAGAATAAAGCCTTCTCGTTAGCACTTTGCCAGGCTGAAGGTCTTTGGTCCCTGCGGTTTAGGATTGGGTAAGATGGAAGAGCAGGGCAAAGCTGGAGACGGGCAGGCTGCCTGGGGCCTTTGTCCCTGCTCTTGTCACGACTAGGCCGATGGCAGAGATTTGTCTTCCCTCCAGAACCCAGAGGGGAGGCCTGAAGTCGTTCATGTTGCCACCAGCTCCCTGTGTGTGGTGGAGACGCCTGCCTGGGCTGAACCTGATCTTCCCTCGGAAGGGAAACTGCCTTCTTGCCCTCCACTGGGCATGGCTGGCTCTGCCTCCTCCTGGGGCTGGAGGTGCTGCTGAGCTCTGGAAGGAGCATGCTGCCCGGGGGTGCCAAGTTGTCATGGACCTTCTGCTTTGGTTCCTCTTTCCCCAGAGCAGCATGACCTCATTGAGAAATGTGGTGGGGAGACAGTGGTCAGAAGGCTGCGCAGAGAAGTGGACATTGTGAGCTGTGGCCTGCAGGAGCCAAGAGTCGGCTCTTGTGAGCAGGGGAAGGTGTACAGCCCTCAGGGCCCTGTGGGCACTTCCCTGCCCAACCTTGGGGTCCTGATGTTGCTTCAGACTTTAGACTTGGGAACATGGAGGGAAATTTCAATTCTGAGTCCTCAGGTTGGTCCCTGGTGTGTGCATCAACCTCCCTGGTTTGAGGCATTTCCTTCATGACACTCTGTCAAGAAATCAGTTGGCCAATAGCCACTGGCTGTCAAGAGGGTCAGCAGCATCCGGGTTCGCCCCGTGCGCTCTGCCTCTCACCAGCTGAGTGGTTTCGGACAGTCACCTGTCTCTCTCATCTTAGGCTCTGCAATCTGCTCTCCAGTTTGTCTTGGGCAAATTCCCTACCCTCTCTGATCCTCTCTTACTTCCTACCTGGATGTACCTATCCTGGGGGCTGTGGAGGAAAGTGTATATTATAGAAAAAGCTCTGAGGCTGTGTCAGGCTCCCAGAAGGCCTGAGTGCAGTTGGTATGACTCTGAAAGTGTTGGCCATCTTAGCGGCAGGTATAGGAGGACAGTGGCCCCGAGGCCCACCATGTCAAGCCTCCGCCTTATAGTGAAGGAGCTGGTGACAGCTGACAAGCCATTTTTCAGAGAGCTTAGGGCTTTGGAATTGCTCCTCTTGTGGCTAAAGTCACGGAGCCTGCTCCTGTCGCTGTGACTGCCTGGTCACTAAGCTTGTGTCATGCTCACGTGCTCTGTGGCCCAAGGTCGGATGCGCCCTAGAGGTGGCTCACCCTGCCTCACAGTCTGGAGCCTCTGCTGGAGGCTGGAGGGCGGAGAACCCCGTTATCCAAAGTCTGGTTCACTCACATGCCCCGTGGGAGACGCTGGCTGTGGCTGAGTCTCTGCTGCTCTCCGCATGGGCTGGCCCGGCTTCCTCACGGCACAGTGGTTGACTGTCTCTGAGTGTCCCAGAAAGAGAGAGGGGCAGGTGGAAGCTACCTCCTTTCTGTGACCCAGTCTGAGAAGTCACAAAGCATCACCTTATTGCATTGATTGGAGCTGTAACCCCTGCCCCCCACTGCCCTGTATTCTAAGAGAGGAAGTGGAGACCTTTCCTCTTAGCTAAGGGAGCTGATGACTTTGGAGCATGTGAGGCAGGAGGTCCCAGTGGCCCCTGTGGAAGGTGCAGGCTGAACGAATGCCAGGGGCTATCTGGAGCACTGGTGAGAACCTGAGACACGGTTCTTGCTGCAAGCTGCTCACTCTTTAGGGAAGCAGAGCAGACACACGGGAGGATTCGAGAGGACACATGGGAGGTAAGTGAGCCAAGGCTCCTTAGAGGAAGTGGTCTCCAACCACCCTCTTCCTCTAGAGTGAGCAGTCACAAAGGCAGCTGTGTCACCTGCATGAGTCGGAGGGCTTTGGGAACAGAAAAAATGAGTAGAAAGTGATTGTAGTAGCTCAGAGATGACTTTGGAGCTTGGCTGGGCTTCTGTCAAAGCAAAGCTGTCTGACGCACATAAGCCATGATGCGGAGGGCTACTGAGCCCTTGACCTGTCTGAGGACTGACATCCTCAATACTATGGAGACATGGAGGGCATTCATTACCAAAGGATGTGTTCTCCGAAAATTGTTTCTGAAGTAGAAAGAATTCTTATTTTAAAACTCCAGGAAGTCCTGAGGCATCTGTGAGTTTGTGGTGGGGAGGAAACCCACCTTTGGGAACTCCTCAATTGCCAGGAATTGATGACACTTGTGGAAGTGTCCCTGAAGAGCCATCTGTGGATCAGGCCTGTGCCATCTGCCCTTCCTTCTCCATGTCCTTTGTCCCACCTTTTCTTTGTGGGTATAGGAGGAATTGGCCTTTTCTCTCAGAAGCCTGCAGGCCACTGTTGCCTGGTGGTGGCTCTTCTGGCCCTCTGATGTGAGCCTGCCACCTACTTCTCCCCTCATTCAGGAAGAAGAAGATGAAGGATGAGAGTTTCTAGTTAAGTCCCTTCTTTACAAGTCTCCTTCACGTTTTTGTAGTAACTGAAACTTCTCTCCTTTTGTTTGTTTTTGGCAAAATAAGCTTGACATTTGTCTCAGTCTGTTTATGCTGCTATAGCAAAATGCTATAGATTGGGTAATTTATAAAGAGAAAAGTATTTCCCACAGTTCTGGGGAGGCCAAGGTTAAGGTGCAGGAAGATTCAGAGTGTAGTGAGGGCTGCTCCTTACTTCCAAGATGGCGGACTTCCAAGATGGCAGACTTCCAAGATGGCACATTCTCTGGAGGGAGCAACATGGTGGCCTCACATGACAGAAGGAGGAAGAACAAGATAGCCCAACACTAGTGCAAGTTTTTTTTTTATAAGGTCCTTAATTCCATTCATATGGAGGAACCCTCATGGGCTAATCACCTCTTAAAGACTCTGCCTCTTAAAACTAACATTGGCCATTAAGTTTCAACACCCAAATCTTGAAAGGGGCACATTGAAACCATAGCATAATTTTTACCATTTTTAAGTATCATACTTCAGTGGCAAAACGTACATACACATTTTTGTGCAATCAACACCATTATTCATTTCCAGAATTTTTTTTTGTCATATAAAACTATAACTCAATGTCCCCTTTCCCTTTTCTCTGTCTTCCCATTCCCTGCCAC